AAAACGAAATTTTCAGACTGTGTTTTTGGGATGTTACACATCATGAGACGAGGTATCCCACCCACGATTTGGAGTTGGGGCAGTAGTGTTCGCCCTCATGATCTGGCGTCACTATTTGTATGGGGTTCGGTGTACTATATACACGGACCACAAGAGCTTGAAGTATTTGATGGGTCGGCCCAATTTGAATATGCGCCGGAGGAGATGGTTGGACATGGTAAAGGATTATGAGTGTGAGATCCTCTACCACCCGAGCAAGGCTAACGTGGTAGCCGATGCCTTGAGTTGTAGGACAGAGGGTGCCCCATTACGAGATGTTTATTTGAGGTTGACAGTGATGACCCCGGTGTTGGACACCATTCGGGAGGCCCAGGTAGAGGCCATGAGACCGGAAAACCGCAAGCGAGAACGGGTGATCAGATAGATATCTGAGTTCATTGCTGATAGTCGGGGGCTTATGACCTTCCAGGGCCGGATTTGGGTGCCATTTGAGAGCGGTGCACTTGCCATTTTGATGGAAGAGGCGCACAGGTCGAGGTTTTCGATTCATCCCAGGGCCACTAAGATGTATTTGGACCTGAAAAGAGACTATTGGTGACCCTGTATGAAGAGGGACGTGGCGTGGTTTGTAGAGATGTGTTTGACCTATCGCAGGGTTAAGGCTGAGCACCAGTTTCCACATGGCAAGTTGCAGCCACTTGAGGTTCCCCAGTAGAAGTGGGAACATATTTCCGTGGATTTTATCACCAAATTTTCGAGGACTGCGAGAGGCGTCGATGCAATTTGGGTGATCGTCGACCGGCTAACAAAGAGCGCTCATTTTCTTGCTATCCGTGAGAGCTTTTCCGTAGAGAGGCTGACAGAGGTGTATGTGAGGGAGGTGGTATCGCGACATGGTGTACCGATCTCGATTGTGTCAGATCGAGATGTGAATTTTACTTCCAGGTTTTGGAAGAAGTTCCATGAGGAGTTGGGTACTAGGCTGCATTTCAGTACCGCTTACCACCCACAGACGGACGGACAGAGTGAGCGGAAGATTCAGATGCTCGAGGACATGCTTCGGGCATGTGTGTTGGACTTCGAAGGGAGTTGGGACACGTATCTGCCTTTGGATGAGTTTTCTTATAACAACAGCCACCATTCGAGTATCGGTATGCCTCCCTTTGAGTTATTGTATGGGCGGAGGTGTCGGACTCCCTTCTGCTAGGGAGAGGTTGGGCAACGAGTATTGGGTAGCCCTGAGTTAGTACTTCAGACGATAGAGCAGATACAACAGGTCAAATAGAGATTGTTGACAGCTCAGAGTCGCCAGAAGAGTTACGCGGATAGGCGACGATCCGAGCTCGAGTTTCAGGTCGGAGATTTTGTACTTCTGAAAGTGTCTCCATGGAAAGGAGTGATCCAATTCAGGAAAAGGGGCAATTTGGGGCCCCAGTACATTGGACCGTTCAGGGTGATCGCGAGGGTGGGCAGGGTAACATATCAATTGGAGCTACTTGCGGAGTTGAGCCAGATTCATGATACCTTCCACGTATCTCAGCTGAGGAAGTGTATAGCCGATGAGTCGGTGGTAGTGCCGTTTTAGAGGATATCCATGTGGACTCAGGGCTGAATTATGTTGAGAGACCGATCGTGATCTTGGACCGGAAGGTCAAGGTTCTGAGGAACAAGGAGGTGCCTCTGGTTCAGGTCCAGTGACAGCACTGGAAGAGGTCCGAGCTGACTTGGGAGACAGAGTCAGAGATGCGGGAGCAGCATTCGGAGTTGTTTTCGGCATGAGACTTCGAGGGCAAAGTCAGGTTCTAATGGGGGAGAATTGTAACATCCCGAATCCAGGTAAAGCTATTAAACCCTTCCATTTTGTCAAGTTGTCAAGAATGGTCCCTTGAGATAGTTCTTGTAGCAAATGAGTACATTGGGCGTACTAGGGAGTATGTTGCGCGTACTCATGTGCTTAATTTGGATGTGGACTCGCCTACGCTGGGCGTACCCAGGGTTACGCTGGGCGTAATGGGTCCAGATGCAAACCCTAAATGTTTGGCTTGTGCACTATTTAAAGGATGCTAGGGCTCATTTCTCAGCCTCCATATCAGAGAGTGAAACCCTAAGAGAGAGCCTTCCACCGTCCATAGCTTGAGTGTGTGTGTTTTGGAGCTAAAAGTGTTTTAGTGTGTTAGTGAAGAAGAAGGAGAAGAGCTTGTGGAGGCCAGGGCTTGAAGTGCAAGGTTGGATCTGAGGTCTTCAGAGAAAGGAGCTTCATCTAAAGGTATAAAGTTCAAAACTTTCCTCCTTATTTGGTTTGATGTTGCATGGACCATTTCTAGGGGCTAAAGTCCCAAAGGTGGAGACTTTATGAATGTATTGTACTCCATGGACCTAGATCTGTCCCATTTCAGTAGTATTTGTGTTATAGATCCATAAAGCTTCCATCTTGGTCGTTGATATGAGGTCATGCTTGAGTTATAAGCTCTCTAGAGTTGGGAAATGGAATATTATGGGTGATAGTGACTTGTCTAGCCACGCAAAGGCTTAAAAGTGATCAGATTTTAGAAGTTGGACGTGGGTCTTAACTGTTTAAGACCCCAAAAGCTTAGAGTCTGAAACTGGGAGTTACGTGGGGCGTAATCTCAGTACGCGCGGCGTAAGGGGTCGCGCACCCCGTTTCTGTGAAGACACCGGGTACGCCCATCGTACATGTTTGGTATGCGCAACGTAACCCAGAGAGTTGACTTGTGTTGACTTTTAGGGTTTGGTCAACTTTAGGGTCTTGGAGCCATGAGAGGGGTAAAATGGTATTTTACCCTTCTGAGAGTACTAAGAGAGGGAATAGTCTAGGCTTGAGAGATGTATTGATTTAGAGTGTTTATTTCATATGATTAGGTGGAGGCTACATCAGATTTTACAGAGTTCAAGATTATCGAGTTACCCGAGGTGAGTCTTCTCACTATACTTTACCTAGTGTGGTAATTAGAGTTATATGACAGAGTATCTTGTATGTTGTTTATGTGATTGTGATGCATTGCATTATTTCTATGTGATTTAAGTTGTGTATGTTCTAGAGTTTACAGAGTTAGAACCGGAAGGTTCACAGAGTAAGGACCAGAGGGTCCACAGTGTTATAGCCTCGAGTGGCTAATATGTGTTATATGTGGTATTTTGGGGAACTCACTAAGCATTTATGCTTACATTGTTATGTTATGTGTTTCAGGTACCAGTGAGGATCGCGGGAAGGCGCCGACTTGATCAGTACACACTTGAGGAGCTTTTACATATTTGATATTGGGATGTGATGTTATGAATTGATTATGTGATACATTGATATTTTTATAACAATTATGAATGAAAGTTTGTTTTTGAATGTGAAAAATTATTTGAAAAATTTGGGTGTTACAACTTTAGTCAGCTGCCGTGTCATGGCCCTCTAGTAACAGTCTGTTGCGATTTTCCACGTCACGCCGTGACGACCTATTGTCATGCTGTGGGCACTGGGTTTTCAGCAGCTTAATTGGCTAAGTTGCTTTCTTCGTTCCTAAGAGCTCCAAAGCTCAAATCTGGTCCGAAACTAGGTCTAGAAGGATAGGTTTTAAACTTTATCCGTTAAGACCACTCAAAAGGTTAAAATCTCAAACCCCAGGTTTCAAATATGATAAATAAGACATGTTTTCCCCTATTAAACACTTATTCCAAAAAGTCAATAGCTGATTTAGTCCATATCAGTATCTATTATCAAAACCAACACAAAAGTTGGTGCTTTATAGACATGCATGTCCAATGCATGACTTGAAGCTATAACGAGTCAAAATAAGGGTTTTCATGGAAATCATGCATGATTCAAAATCCAACTAGAAACCAGATCCAAACCAACAATCATGTCAAATGTCTCATAGATTCATAAAGTTGCAAACTTTATGAGATCTCATCACTCAAACCCATAAGAACATGAAGATTTAGAGACAAAACATAAGATCTAGCATCCTATCATGATAAAAATCGAGTCTTGGACACTTACAAAGGTCCAGGAGAGTGCCAACACAAAGGATGATGACTAGCTTGCTGAATCTTAGGTCACTTCTTATTCTTTCTTCCTTCAAAGGCTTCAAAGAACACCAAAATGACTCATTCCTTTAAATAAGGCGCAAAAACCCGAACAACAGGGTTTGTCACTTGCCAGCTGCCACGTCATGGCCTATACTGTGACGCCGTGGCGGCTTAAATAAAATATGCGAACTAAGATAGACTTGCCTTGTCGTGGCACCTCTCCACCATGCCATGGCAAAACCTTAAAAATGCAAAAATTGAAAATAATATAAAGTACCTCAAGATTCACGTATTACATATTTTTTGGTTGTAGATGCAATTAAATTTTGGTAAATTTTGTCTGTAAATCCTTCCATTTGGAGTTCATTTAATGCTTATATCAATCTAAATCTCCATTGTTGAAGTGTTTTAGAGCTCTCTCCCAAAAAGGCTCAAATCTTTGCTAAATAATCCGATTATAGTTTTCCAAAACATCGATATAAACCTTCGCCAACCCTTTTTTTCACTCCATTTTTTTGGATTTCTATGTGTTGTGAGTTGTCGGGGATGGGTTGGGGTTCCTCGCTTGATTCTTCATTTTGGCTTTGAGGGTTGGGTTTATCACTTGATTAATCAGATTCTTCAATCTACGTTTTGAGCATCATATAGTTTGATGCTTCAGGGAGTAGAATATTAGAATTGGTTTTTCAGAATGCATTGTGAATAGTGAAATTGTGAAGCTTCTTGAGATAGCTAAAATTGGTTAATCGTTTGGTGCATGGGTTTTTTTTTTTTTTCCTCTCTCTCTCACAATATAACGTAACCAACAATTAAGTTCTTCTCTATAATATGATTGGATGGAATGTAGAACATTTCGTATGAGTTGGACAAAAAGAAAATAAAAATTCAGATTGAAGAAGAAAAAAATGTTTTTATTATTTCATAAAAGCTCTGGTTTTTAAGATTACCATAACCACGTGACACAAGTCGCAAGGAATCAATCATCTTATTATCTGAACTGTGGGCGGTAAAAGTAAATTTGATCGTGTAAGTTGTAACTATATTTAATGAGAAAAAGTTCTACGCGGTTTGAGCATTCTCTACATCTTTTCCAATTCCATGTAAGCCAAAGTTTGCAACTGCTACGTCTACGACTCCGTTTTGCGTTCACTGTCTCTCGTCGAAGTAGGATCATCTTTCACGTCTCCGTCACCGGTAACCTAATGCGATCTGACTCTTCCTAGCACCCAATTACCCTTCAAGTTAGTTCATTCTCTTCCTTATACTCGATCGTTTACTTTTCAATTGTTTTGGATTTATCATTTTCAGATAGAGAGGGAGAAAGAACGATCACCTGTGCACTGCGTACCAAAACCCTAATTCAAAATCTTTAATCGCTGACACTCTTTTTACAAAATCATTCAGTAACTTCAAGCTTACCAGTTGTAGACAGTAGATTGCTGAATTCGAAACCTCTACGTATTTCTTACTGCAATTTTCGATCATATGCTCGCCTCTCAATTTTGATGTCTTCTATGTTATAAAACACAAATTATATTGCTTAATTACCCTTATTTGAATGATCTTTTCATGAATAGTGTTTCTTTAATTAGTATCATGCAAGTTATGTATGTCATGCTTCTAGGTTCCAATGTTAATAGGAAGGAGTACTTCTTTTATGAATTTTCTCATTATTGTTAAATCATTCCTCTGACTGTTGCAAATATACTTCTGTTTTAGGAGTGGAAATCAATCATCAAATAGGAGATGGATACGAGTAATTGGAGGCTTACTGAGGGTGGAAGTGGCGATGTTGGCGACTCCTCTATGGAATCTAGTGATTGGAGGGCTGAGCTGCAAGAAGATTTAAGGGAAAGGATGGTGAACAGGATGTGTGTATTTACATCCTTCTATTAAGTTTCATGATTCTGTGTGTTTTAAGAATCTGATTATGCTAACCTGCTTAAAATCAGCCATTAACATTGATGATGTTGTTGTTAGCTGTTGGGAATTTTTTTGTTAATAGTGTAGCCTTATGTGTAGAAATATAGTCTCATATTTGTTGGATTATCCAAAAAATAGCAATTTCACTTACATTGCTTGATGTGGCTGGTTATATACTTTCTTTGATTCCTAAAATCATGATTTTAACCTGAAATATCTTGTAAATACTTTCATCTTTTGACTGAAAAATGCTAATTTTACATAGATTGGATGCCATGAAGATGCACCTTCAGGTCTCTGGAGATGAGGGGCTACAGGAGCTTAGGAAAGTAGCTGTGAGTTTTGAAGAGAAGATTTATGCCACTGCAACAAGTCAGGTTTGTTGTATTTTCTATTTGTTGATATTCTTTATTTTTGTAGTTTTTGCTTTTGCTTAGTGTAATGAAGATTTTACAGGAGTCATTATGTCAAGATGGAAGTATTTATTAAATAAATAAATACTTCCATTAAAGTGAAATCATGTTTGCCATATGTTGTAAGGTACTTCGCAATCTAAATCATGTAACTCATTTGGTTTGCAGTCTGATTATATGCGGAAGACATGTTTCAAGATATTGACTATCGAAACCAGATCACAAAATCCCATGCCAGATGCTAATAGTGTAAACAACTCAGATCCAGGTACTTTTAATAGACTTTGCATTATATAATGTATTCACTTACATTCCAATCATAAAGAAATTTATAACTCTTTTGTAGCATCATTAGATTCCACAAATGGTGAAGACTGGCAAGAGGAAGTTTACGAAAAGGTACAGTATACGAAATTACAATTCATTCAAGAAAGGGGAAGTATCTGATATCACAGTTTGCATCATGATTGTTTACAACATAAAATCTCTACAAGTAACCAAATCTTTTCTATATTCCTTGTGATTTCAGATAAAAATTATGAAGGATCTTTATCTACAAGATTTGAATGACATGCACCAGAAAGTTGTTCGCAAATTGCAGCAGGTAAGTTCCATACCCCCCCTTATTTTTGCTACATGGTGGTGATAAACAGTGTTATTTAGGCTCTTTGAAAAATCTACTTTATTATATAATTGTATGTTTATTTTCCTTCTCATTGGGTATATTTTTTAAAGTATAATGCTATAATAGGAAAAACTGAAAGTAAAAAAAAGGGTATACCACTATACCTCACCCATATGGATAGGATTGAACCTGAGACCTATTTTATGAAATGAAAGTAGGATCAATGCTATATGATAAACAAATCAATAAAAGCACTTAACTTTTAAAGACAATCTTTTTTGTATTTTAATTTGACGAAAGACACTGTTTTCCAGCATGATTCTCTTCCTCAGCAATCAAATAATGAGCAACTTGAGAAGCTGAAATCATTCAAAAACATGTTGGAGCGTTTCATGGCATTCTTACAAATCCAAAAGCACAACATTTTAGTCAACTATAAAGACAAACTGAGTACTTACGAGAAGCAGATCATCCATATCATCACCTCAAACCTCCGGAAACCTGCCGCCACTCAGCAGCCACCACCACAGCCACTTCCTCCACCACCACATATGCATTCTGTGCAACAAAATATCAGTATGAATGGTTCTCTACAGCAAAATTCAGTGAATGGGACTGCTGCCCAACAAGTAAACATAAATCCTTTGGTGTCACATAATGGGATAGGTATCCTTCAGCCACTTTTTTTTTAAAAAAAAAAACTTTTTTGTTTGTTGCAAATTGCAATGAGCTAATAGTATGCAGATTTTAAATTTTTTGTTGCATCGTTATATTGGACAGCTCAGACAGGAAATGAAAATGATGGAGATTGGCAGGAGGAAGTGTATCGAAAGGTATTGTATATGAGATTACATATCTTTTAGAATTCAGATCAGATAAAATCTACAAGGGATTTGCATCTGTAGTGTAATTTTCAGTTACTCCAAATTTGTTTTTATTTTGATTACAGATAAAAGCTATGAAGGACCTGTATCTACTAGATTTGAATGACATGCACCATAAAATTCTTGTCAAATTGCAACAGGTAAGTTAGTAGTGGCTCATATACATATCTTTATGGTTTTGTTGTAGTCCCATTGTGCTTTTCACTTGTTAAGGGACCTAATTTAGGACATTATACTTTGAAAATTTACTCCAATTATATCAGTGAAAATTGCTTTATATTTCATTGACATTGCTCTAATAAATCAATCAGTAAAAGTACATTGCTATTTCTTGCATTTAACAAAAAATTTTGTTTTCCAGCACGATTCTCTTCCTCAGCAGCCAAAGAACGAGCAACTTGAGAAGCTGAGAATATTCAAAAACATGTTGGAACGTTTCATGGCATTCTTACAAATCCAAAAGCACAACATTTTAGTCAACTATAAAGACAAACTTAGTATTTATGAGAAGCAAATCGTCCATATCATCACCTCAAATCACCGGAAACCCGTCCCCACACAACCACAACCACCACATATGCAATCACAATCACAATCACAACAAACACACGAAAACCCAATGACTTCCCAAATGCAAACAGTCCATCTACAGCAAACTTCTCTATCTGGGGGTTCAACTTCAAATTCTCAACAGACAGGGATGAGTTCAATACTTGACTCGGTGAGTGGGAGTGGGGCCCAACAAGTGAACATAAATTCAATGGTGTCTGATGGGGCAATAGGTACCCTACAGGTGAACACAATCATGCTTCATATTAAACAACAACAACAACAACAACAGCTTCTTCGAAGCCAACATCTGAAGCAATTTCAAAATCGCCAAATGCAGCAACAGTTCCTTCAGAAACAACAACTCATGCAACAACAACAACAGCAGCAGTTCAGACAACCAGAAGGAAACCAAGTTAACCAGACGACTCAGCTTCATGATGGTGGTGGTGATATGAAACTCAGACAACAACAAATGATGCCAGGTGGCAGTCTGTTTTCAACTCAGTTAATTCCAGGTGGCGTGTCCCCACAGATTGAGGGACAAAATATGTTTAAAACTATGCAATCTGCCAACTCAACTAATGTTGCCAACAATGGACATGGGCAGGCAGTGTTGACTAGTCAATCTCTTGCTATTGGGACACCTGGCATATCGGCTGAGTTTACTAGTCCGGATGGGAATGGTTCGATTGCTAAGTCTAGTGCTGCAGAACAGCCTATTGAGAGGTTACTCAAAGTGGTAAGTTTGTAAACTGCAAAAATATGTAATGTTTTTGAGAGACTGTAAAACTATTCTGTAATTGTTTGGTTGACAGGTGAAATCAATTTCATCGAATGCATTGAGTGCTTCTGTTAGTGACATTGGTTCGGTTGTGAGTATGATTGATAGGATTACAGGATCAGCACCAGTTAACAGATCAAAAGCTGCAGTTGGTGAGGATTTGGTTGCCATGACAAAATGTCATCTTCAAGAAACATCTTTTGCCACTCAAGATGGAACCACTTCCACTTCCAATTCCAATTCCAATCCCATCAGGAAGAAGATGAAATGCTTTACAACTGCAATGCCTTCCAATGTTGCAGTCAAAAGGCCACGGATTGAGGTACTAATTTTTTTCCCCACTTTCTGCTTGATGTATACAATGAGGGTATTTTGGTCTTTTAATAAAAAAAAAAATGGAAGAATGGAATTGAATGTGGTGAATCCCATCTTTCTCAGTCCATATCAACTTGATTTGTGACATAAATAGTAAGTTGGCATCGATGGTGGTTTTTTAACTTTGAGGAAGCCAGGATTTAGTAGACAGAAAACCATTGATGTAAAAGGTAGAGGGATAAGTGCACGGAATAGCAATTTACTTTTGTTTTTGTGTAGTATTGTATACTTATAGCATCCTTGTTTCATTTTTTATTTTTTTATGAAAGCATTGTACTTAAGAAAATCTACCCAGTTTTAGTATTATACTTTGAAAAATCAAACCTAATTATAGCAGTGAAAAACAGTTTGTATTTCAATGACATTTCTATAGCTGCACAGATTTTTCAAAGTACAATGTTGTAATACGAAGAAATCAAAGTAGCATGCTATAATAAAAGTTTGTTGCAATTTCTCGTATCTAACCCTAAAATTTCATCTTCTGTAATGTTACAGACAAACCACTCCCTTTTGGGTGAAATAAAGGAGATAAACCGAGGACTCATAGACACTGTGGTGGATATTAGCACGGAGGATGTTGACGGAACCGTGGTTAAATGCTCGTTCAATGCAGTAGCTCTCGGTTCCAACTTAAACTCCCAATATGCTTCTGCCCAAATGGTGCGCATTGTCTCATAATAGCAACCTACTTCTTTTTTTAAATTTAATTATCTAAAAATTGTTTTGTTGAATCTCATAACAGTCACCTATTCAACCTCTACGATTGCTCGTTCCTGCAAATTATCCGAATTGTTCCCCGATACTCTTGGATAAGTTTCCCATGGAAATCAGGTAATAACAGATTTATTTTAATTATGGGTTACATATTACTATTATCATATAAATTAGGAGTTAATTACGTATTTGGCCTTTGTGATTGCAGCGAGGAGTATGAGGATCTATCAGTGAAGGTGAAATCAAGGTTCAGTATATCTCTGAGAAGCCTGTCACAACCGATGTCACTTAAAGAAATTGCAAGGACTTGGGATATTTGTGCACGTGCTGTTATCTCTGAATATACTCAGCAAACTGGTGGTGGTACTTTCAGCTCTAAATATGGTACATGGGAGAACTGCTTAAGTGTGATAAACTAACTAGTATGTATACTAATTGCTCTGTGAAGCTAAAAGTGTAATTATTGTTGCAAAGACTACTAATGCTGTTTGGTTGATTGTGTTTGTCTACACTTAATTTGGCTTATAAGGTTATGCTTGCGTGCGTATATAAGAAAAAAAAACTATGAATCTATATTGATTTCTTTGCCTTTGCATATGTATATGTTGTTCCCTTTTTGTTATAAGGTTTGTAACAGTTTTGTCACATTCTATAAGATTGGAAAAGCTCTCTACAAAGTGACATGTCTTGTAATCATTACATTACTTGCTATAAAGGCCAGACAAACTTTTAGGACTACTTCGATCATGAGGATGAGAAAAGTATTTATGTATTTTGTGCAAACAAGTGATTTGAGGGCGAGTTTCATCAACTATCAAGTATTGTTTTGCTTTTTTGGGTAATTGGTTTCTTTTTAGATGAAGTTGAAGTTTAAATTTGTCAAAATATAGTACAAAAATGTTATGTTTTGCAATGCCCTATCTTAAGTAATGATCGAGACCCAAGGATTGATGTGTTCAGTATTGAAACTTTTGTAGAACTTAATGTCAGTGTTTGTTTGTTACATGTGACAAGACTTGATAGGATTGCATGAGAGCTTTTTAAAACTAATTTCAATGAAAAAGCGAATTCACATCTTTTGTACGGATGATAAATCTAAAATATGTCCCCATTCCACATTCTTAGGTGGAACACATTTACAATTTAAGTGATGTTGATCTCGGGGTATGTCCAGAGTTCTTCAGAGTTTTTAGCTTTATAAAAAACTTGAACTAAAAAAAAAAAAAAAAAAAAACCCTTAGTTTTAGTTTGAGCGTACACGAAGCTTAAAGGTTATTTTAGAACAAAAGCTCTTGATTGAAAAACTATTTCAGGTAACATGTGTAAAGAAAAGCTCCTGCGTATTGTAACAAAATTACTAGATTGTTTTTAAAAAATCAGTCTTTTATTTGCATGCCTTTTATGAAATTTTATATATCTCAAATGCTTACAATTAACTTTGCCAAACAACTAACTAGCTATTTTGCGACATTTCTTGAATTTTCTCCCATGATTGATGGTAGAAGGCATTGTCAAGGTCAAGACCATGCAAATGCAAACACATGCATTGAACATTAACTCAAAATACACACATCTAAAAAAAATTCATGTATTATTCAAAACACCCAATCTCGTCTTTCATTTTCTTTTTGCAATTGAAAGCCAAAAACATTGACTTTACCAACTTTAGCATGGTAAAACTTGCCATTACTTGCATCCCTTGGTTTCTAACTGTGTAATCAATCATACTTCGCGTAAATTAAACTAATATCTAAATTACACGTCAATAATACTTGGCAATCTAACAAACCAAAATCAACACAACTAAAAGCTCGAAACTTTTGCCAAAAATGGACTTTTTATGGTAGGAAGGTCATAATTGTCATTCCTCTGATAAACCTAGAAAGTTCACATGAAAGGCTCTCTCAAGGCTGTGGGCAAGTTTAGTTCAGGCTCAGAAGTAGGAAGTGGTGCAAAATATGAGTCCACCATGTCCTTGGTCACCGCTTCCAAATTTGGAATATCCCACTGTCAAATCCAAGAAAAAAGAAAATTTTTAAAATCATATTTCACAAGGGATGTTAATACTTAAAGAACACAAAAGGGTACCTTGGGCGCAAAATCTTTGTCAACTAATCTTGCACGAATTCCCTACACAATGAATGAGAGAAAGACTTTCTCTATTAAGTTATCAAAAAGCTTAAGGGGGAATAAGTCCATTAAGTCATACTCACTCATACATACCTCAGAGAAGTCTCCAGAAACCTGTTTGGAGATGCAATGCAAAGATGTACGATATTCACGACCCAAACACTGATCAAGAGGCTGGAATCTTCCTTCCCTTATCTGCATTTATTACTTATTTATTTATTTCACCACATTTTAATTTAAAAGAAAATTTACCCAAAAAAAAAAAAAAGGTTGATTAGGTCACTCACAGATTGCAAAGTGATCTTTAAGCTCAAAGGAGAGGCTTCCTTCAGTTTCTTTAAGGCTGTTGAACATAATTCATCATGCGACTCTGCTTCTTTCTGCATAATAATCATACATGTTATGCCACTTCTGTTTCTTTTTTATTATTGATAAATGATAAATGATATTTAAAAAACATTTGAGAAAATGATGGCACTTAAAGGGAAGGAGGGAGAACTTACTAAAGCATCCACAATTTCCTCAACAGTGTCATGACAAAAATATTTATCAATTCTTTCGATCCTGAAAACACCAATCAAAGGTTAAATTAATAATTTAGTAATGATTAAATTATGAGTGTAATACAAGCTGCCACTTAATCTTACATAATTAAATATGTATTACTTATGCAACAATGTTTCACTTTTTTTTTTGCCAATTTTTGCAACTAACACGAATCATGCAAACCATGTTTCAAGTAAAAGAGAAATGGCAGATGGAGAGTGGAATTAATAGAAAATTACTTGTGAAGAACACTGGTTTTATCTACATAAACAAGATCACCATATTGAGCAAGAGAATCTGATATGACAGAAGGGTCATCTGTCATGAGTTGACCAAGGCGTTCTTCAATCCATGCAAGTTTCTGTAAGAATGAATAAATAAATTACAAATCATCATATTCTTATTCAAAATTAAATCTGCCAACAAATGTAAAAAATTAGATGAAACTACATACCCCACTTAGTGAATAATGTGTAGCAATGCCACATGCAACAAGTTCAGCTCCATTCAGCTTTTCACCAGTCAAAGCCAAGAATTCACCTACAAAAACACAAGAAAAACAGAATTAGGATTTAAAATTCCCAAGGATTAAGAATATTTTATTCTTGGAAATGATAAAAATAAAAAATAATGAATTAAGAGTTGGATTGCAACCTAAATAACCAGGGAGACGAGAAAGATAAAATGAAGCCCCTGCATCTGGATGGAATCCCATTTGAACTTCAGGAGTTGCAAAAACCTGCAATTCATTTAGTGAGGTTAATTCAAGGGTAAATTAGTCAATAATTTAATTTTAGAGAGGTAGCAATGCACACCGTTTTGTCAGTTGCAATCCTAAACATTCCAGGAACACCAATTCCTGCACCACCACCCATTGTGATACCATCCAAGATAGCCAACTGTTAAATCATCAATACTCAATGATCAAATAGTCTTAACAAAGAGAGAAAAAGAAGAAGAAGAAGAAGAAGAAGAAGACAATCGAATACTCACATTTGGCTTTAAATATGTTCCTAAAAGGTATATAAACTGATACAATGTCCTGAAAAGTTCTTTGCACTCAGTAACATTGCCTGTTTATAATACAAGTAGCAAGTTAGCAAGAAAACTATTAAGCATTTGAAAATGTAAAAGAAGATAAAAGAGTGATGCACACCTTCTTGAAGTAATCGATAGATGGTTACCATGTCTGCACCAGAACAAAATGCCCTACCACTACCCTTCAAGAAATCCAAATGACATTTAGAGATACAAACCCTAACATAAAGAAGGAAAAAATCTCAGTGGAACATGGAATACCTTCATCATGACAAATCCAATTTGTGAGTTATCCTCCCACGACTCATAAAGTCTTTGTAATCGACCAGCCTACATTCAAAATTTGAACAATGTTAGAGCATCTAAACATTGCTCAGTGAAAAAAAAAAATCATTGAGGACAAGGCAACGCATGAGATTCATATATGGATCAAGGTTCTCAATCAGCAATGTAACAAGTATTTTGCAAATGATAGGAATGCAGTTCTTCCAATTTTCCAACAAAAGCTAGAAAAATCCCCAAAAGTTTGCCACGACTCTACTCTATGATCCTAAATTTTTGCTTGGAAGGAAGGAAAAGGAAAGAGAGAAAGAGGATGAAACCATAGATGTAGTAATAGCATTGAGTTGAGATGGTCTATTGAGTATGGCAGCTCTCGAGAAAGCTCTTCCTTCCACTAAAACCTGTAATTGCACAAAAAAAATCATTGCAGAAATACAACAAGTGTAAGTTAAAATGAGAATTAAAAAGTTGAAATAGCAAGAGAGGGAGAGAGATACATCTTCTTCAAAACGGTGGTGTTGAGGGTAGTTGTCGCGTTGAGCAGAAATGGTGGAGTAGCAACTGTGAGACTGCCTCTGAAACGAACGTCTGAGTGCTGATAAGGATTTGAATCGCTGCATCTTCTAAAACCCTGTGTGGTTTCTTGTCTTTCGTGGGTGGTGTTCGTGAACAAGAGTCGAGAGCTCAGAGAATAGAATAGAAATCGATTCACTCACTGAAACAAAACCTTATTCCAATTGGGCCATCCCTTTCAGGATCTCAGCTTAGCAATAGCAAATAGAAATTAGCACCCACCAAATTACACTATTGCACAGTGGAGGTTCGAGGTTAAAGATGATACCAAACACCTATTTCTCCCATGCTACAGCCATATTAACATCTTGGGCCGAGCATACAGAGAGAGGCCACATGCTTTAGCCCAACAAATCTATAAAAAGAAGGAAAAACACATAACTACGTTTTGTGGTTAATTTTTTATTTTTACAAAAGAGGTAAGGGGGTGTTTGGATAGGAAAAAAAAAGAAGCTTATTGCTTATTTCCACAATAAGTTAATTTAAATGTTTGGATAAAATTTAACTTATTAGGCTAAATAAGTTAATTTTAATAAGCATCCCTTCTCATGCTTATTGCTTATTGTTTATTCCCACCACAAATAAGCTAAAAATCTAATCCAAACACCCCCTAAGTTTTTCTATCAAACTATTCCATGATTTCATGCAGGAAGAGTCGGTTATTTTGATGATGGGACATTTTACATTAAACTTTTATATATTTTTTGGGGTCACGTGTCGACATATAGACATTGTCATTTACACATGGATATAATAATTTTTTTTATTTTTTTTATAAACTCATAATAACCCTAGATAAGTCATTTAGTAGTCTCCTTCACACCATGCCTCTTCTTTGTCTTTACACATCCTTCTTTGGCGACACCCTCATTTGTTCTAATCCTCCCCTCCTACGACACCAACCTCCCCACAAAGTCTTTTTTTTTTCGATACCCATTCGATCCTCTTTGAGAATTTGTCAATCGAAAGTCCTCTCATCGGGTACCCATTCGATCTCATCTTGAAAACCTCATGCGACTGTGTTTGTTCTTCCCCAATGAGAATATAAAGAGAAATAGTTAGAGGGAGAAAGTGACTGAGATTGAAGCGAGTTATTGGGTCACGACGGCAGTGAAACATGACAGTTGCCGCCACCTAATGAGTTTTTAAATGGGAGAGCAAGCGATGTTAAGCGTCGTCAACCCGAGTAACCATACAGTAGCATTTTTCCTTTAATAAATATTTGCTTTTTTACAATATGTTTCGTAAAGGCTACAGAGTACAAGAAGGTCCTACAAAAATCTCCCAGTCCATAACATAACACTTAGTTCATCTCTTTGTCTTCCTTAAAATCAAAATTCACAAGCATGGAGTGGCCATGTTTGAAAACTCGTCTTCTTCATCCACACTTACAGAAACATCATCGTCTTCTAGATGCAACAACCATAATTCTTTAAGCATAGTGTAACGTGCGAAAAATACCGAGTAAAATTTTTATTTTAAATAAGTCAAAACCATTCATACATTATCTCAAAAGACAATTAGAGTATGAGTATTCTTAAAACATCAAAGTAAAATCATAAATAATCATTACAGAATAAATCTTTAGGGGATAAGTGTTGATGTGTGTTTAATGCACTGGTTTTAATCCTACTTTTTAGTTATAAATTTAGCAAACAAAGGCCGTGAACCTGTCTTTAAGTGGTATAGATGAGTAAGTAGAGTGTCGAACTCAGGGAACGAAAATTAAACTAATAACTAATTTTAACTAAGTAATTAATAAGAGTAAAAGTTTTTTCTCTAGTTTTACAAGACTAGCAACTTAAACTAACACCTAACACTAGTTTTAACTAAGAATTATCAAGTAAAAATTCACCAAATTTTAATAAAGAGCTTCTGTTTAGGTCCAACCAATTCACTCCTATGGTTGTTTTTATAGTCAAGTAATATGTTAATTGTTATTGGCTACCAACTATAGTGGTTAGGTTCATATTCACTAATGCTAAACCTTAGATAATTAATTAATTCACACAGTGGCCAATTGTTTACACTAATTAATTCCATAGTTCAATTATTTGGATTAAATAAGATTTGTAATTGGTTAATCAAGTGGGTGATTCAATTAACCTCTTGTTTGCTGGTTTCTCAAACAAGCTTACACATTAATTTACATATTCTCTTATTAATTCTAGTTTCATGTTCATTATTCCTAGTCATATGATAAAGTAATCACATAAACATATGAGGTTAACAATTAAGAGATGTTCATGCAGCTTAATTGTCTTCCAACTAATAGAAAATAGATGTAATCAATACATAAGGTTCTTTAACAAACTTAATTTAATGAAATCACCAATAAACAATTAACTAAAATATCAATTAAACCATAGGAGTAATTAGGTTCTTCCTAAACAGAAGCTATCCGAGTTTTAGCTCATGATTACAAGATAAACAAGCTTAAAAACGGAATCAATTAAACTAAACATCATGCAATCCGAGATTACGTGGAAAATATAACCTAATTCGCTTCCAAGCTTCAAAAGATCAAAGACCAGGGTTCTTCAGGTCTTCAAAGGTTTCTTCAGTCGTTGCTCTCTTTCCAAGGAAGCCAGAAAAGTCTTTAATCCGGATTAAGAGGCTCTATTTATAGTTATCACAAAATAGGGGGTACTCGGCAAGTAGGTCGTGGACTCGCCGAGTAGCTGCATGGAATCCGTGTACGACAAGGATTTTTGACTTTTCTTCGGGAACCTTCTCACGAACTCGCCGAGAATAAGTGTGGACTTGCCGAGTAGATGTATTATACTTCCTTTTTCTTCATCCTTTGGTCTCTAATTGCTCCTTTTTGCTCCAAAGTTGTCTCTTGGACTGAAAACATAATTTCAGCATTATTAAGCACCATTTGTCCATATTATGCATATAATTAGCTAAAAATGAATAAAAATATATGCTAAACATATGTCTAATTATGAAAATATCAAAATACCCCACACTTGACTTTTGGTTGCCCCCAAGCAAAATTAAATTTTAGCATATTAGAATCGCGTAGGAAAACTCCAATCGAACCCAACCATTATGCCAAGATCGCAACGCATGCATTTGTGTCTAAAATTTCCTAATAACCCCCCATACTCCAAATACTCACAATCCTCATAAACATTTGCCCACTTTTTCCGAACAATGCTCATTTTATGCATCCCTCCGAATCCTTCCCCAGAAAACCTTTTAACCTCAAGGTATTTTTGGTTGAGCAACCCAAGCATATATAATCTAGGAAAAATTACAACTTTTGGATACCACTATGGAGCTCTTTTTGAATCCTTCATTTCTTTGACATTTGATCTTTAATTTTCTTGAATTCACCACCTTGTTGTTTGATTTTTGATATCTTCAACTTTTGAATTTTTGCTCTTCGGATTTAACTTTGATGCTCCAAAAATTCTTCACACTTTTCTTGTATTATTTTTTTTTTATTTTTTTTTACATGTACTCACTTTTTTCTCACTCAAAACCCTACATGCTTAAGCAGGGGCGCTCAACTTCAACCTTTATTGGCTAAAGATAATAATTTTCCTGGATACATTTCTGGTACACGATGCTAAACATCACTACTAGAAAACAGCCCTTTAATGACGCGCAAACAATAACACTCGCTGATAGAGGACGCGCATTTGTGCGTGCCCTATAAAATAATGTTAGTTTTGCAAAATTTGAAGAATAGAGGACACGCATTTTTGCGTGCCCCTAAAATTAGTGTCAGAAAAGAAAAAAAAGGAAATGCGGGAGGCACCTTTATAAAATGTGCGTCTTCTAAATGTGTCGCTTTATAACATTTTAATAAAACACGCGTATTTAAGGCGGGATTTCACCCGCCTATTGAATCCCAAAAATTAACCCCCCCGCCTCTTCCAATTAGCAAGAAAAAGCCGTAGGGCCTTCGTCTTCTTCTTCTTCTTCTTTATAGTTATCAATAAAAAATTAAGCAACATTCTCTTCCATTTTGATTTAGATCGATAGTTCACTAAAATGCTGAGTATGTGTTTCTGGATAACGCTTCTAATGATTCCGATGATGTATGAGTTCGTCCGATTGGATGCATATTTACTATTAAATTTGGGGATTTTCTTTTATGCATCACTACCCTCTTCTGTTTCAATCATTCCAAGTTCATCATATAACAAGGCTTCGGTGGTTTTATTAGCTAACACTACTAAAAAAAATCAAAAGACCTGCCTTGTTCTGATCTACCTTCATTTTCATCTTTCTCTTCCTCTTTCTACATGACGAATTCAAGAACACGATTGACTAGTTTGTTAGTCTCAAATCGCAAACCCAACATCAATTTTGACTTATAGAGAACCATATATATATATATATATATATATATATATATATATATATATATATATATATACATATTTGTTGTTGGATATTGCGCTCCCTCAGTTCTGTATTTTTTAGGGCTCGTTTCATTTGTTCATTGTCGCCCTACCACAAGAGATCTTATAACTCTGACCAATCCACCCCCCTTCAATCATCTTTGCTATCAAGATCATATGTGTCCGCCATTTTCTTAAAGGTGCTTTCATTTTCGAGATTTCATTCAGTATCTTGGAGAAATATTACATGATCCTATCAGACTCAGGAAGAGAGCTTTAAAGCGCTGTCAAGACCGCATCCCCCAAAAATAATAGTGCTAGATGACCTCAACATTGATCCTCCTACTGATACTGAAGCCCTCGATTGTTTTCCCAGGTCTTTCACATTTCTTTGATTTCCCTATCTTATATTACCATTTAATCTCTTAAACTCATTTTTTTGTTCTCCAATTTCATGAAAATAGTTAAGTTCAAATGTGCAATCAATTTAATGTTCGGGAAAGTTAACTCCATTTTTGTTCCCTAATCTCTTAAACTCATTTTTTTTGCTCCCCAACATCAGAGTTATGGACTGGGGAGTTCAGAAGACTATGGTTCAGGGAAAGAACTTAAGGGTAAGGATTATTGGACTGTGAGTAAACCTAAAAAGTTTGTCCAGTCAATTCCTTTTTTATTTGCAATCAAACATGGGAATTGGGATTGGAATGGAGTTGAAGTCCAAATCCCACAAAATCCTATGAACCAATTGCCCCCTTAGTTATATTCTAATTTTGTTAGATCTTGATTTATATTATTAGATTATGTATCCATGATGTTGTAGTTTTCCATTTTATTACTTATAAATCGATATGTTTCAGGGGAAAGATTATTGGTTCAAGAAGCAGAGTCCCAACCACCACACAAACTAGATGAAAACATGTGGAAGAACAGGGAACACATTGAAGAAATTATTTTCTTGCTTCAGAGCTCTCATTGGCCAAAATCTGTGAGATACCAATTCTTTTATTTATTTATTTATTTATTTGCAAATCCCATCTCGCCTTTTAGTTTTTATGTTTTTGTTACTGTTGGCAGCTTCAAAAACAGTCTACACCAGAAGAAATTGAACTTGGTCAAGTTCTTAGACAACTAAATGATAAATTTGAAGTTGCATTAGAGCTTGTGGAATCCTTCCAAACAAAAAACTTGTAATAATGTGTTCAGTACAGGTTAGTTTAAGGATGAATAATGACTGATAAGATATATGACACTGAAATTGAAAACATATGTTGATGAGAATGATAAAGGGTATATTTTTTTTTCTTCCAAGAATAGTCAACCATGCATTGACTAAGTCAAAGACCAAAGTCAACTGGACAAAAGTTACAATTTTTTGTATTGAATGCCCTCAGTAGTCCTAGAAAGCTTGTGTAGTCTAGTTTCCAGTCCTGTCATGTGTAACAAAAGACATGAATACCCTCATATCCAGTTGGTATCCTATTAACTATCTGAAACTGTAGGTTGTTGTTCCAAGCTCAATACTAGCAGAAGCTATGTGTATTTTCTTTGTTTTTAGTTTCTTCCTCAAGAAAACAAAGATCATTTTTCATTTTCACTCTGAATAAATGTCATACACTATGTACTAACTTGCAAGAACTCCTTGTTAACTGAAGCTTTTGGAATGAATTGATATATTTTTCAACAGAAAAAAAATGCCTATTTATAGGCTGATTACAGAGGATATCCTAGCTGTACAATCAATGTTAATTCCTGTAAATCAGGGATTCTACCTAACATTCAGGGATTTACAATAACTAAGATTATTCAGTAATTAATACACATAAATCTACACTCCCCATCAAGCTGGGTTATTTATGTCAAACATTCCCAGCTTGCATACTAGTTTATCAAAGACATTCCTTGTAAGGGCCTTGGTGAGAATATCATCTATTTGAAGTCTTGATGGAGTATAAATGGCTTGAATTGTAGCATTTTCAATCTTCTCAGTGATGAAATGTCGATCTAACTCAACATGTTTTGTCTTTTCATGATGGACAGGATTCTTAGCAATGTTAATTGCAGCTTGATTATCACAAAACATTTTTATAGAACCTCCTGTAAAGAGTCCTAATTCCACCAATAGTCTTTTTAGCCAGATTCCTTCACAAATACCTAAAGCCAATGCTCTCAACTCTGATTCTGCTGTACTTCTAAAGACCACAGATTGTTTCTTGCTTCTCCATGTCACTAGATTACCCCAAACATAAGAGCAGTATCCTGAAGTACTCCTTCCATGAGTTGCACCTCCAGCCCAATCTGCATCGGTATAGATGTTAATCTCTTTGGTGCTATTTTTCTTGAATAGTAGACCTTTTCCTGGATTCATCTTGAGGTACCTAAGAATTCTCGTAACAGCCTCCATGTGTTCTTCAGTAGGATTGTTAATAAACTGGCTGACAACACTAACTGCGAAACCAATGTCAGGCCGTGTATGTGATAGGTAGATCAAGCGTCCCACTAATCGTTGGTATCTCCCCCTATCTGTAGGTGGGCTGTCAATTACTGATCCAACCTTTTTGTTGGAGTCCATAGGAGTTGAGGCTGGTTTGCATCCAAGCATCTTTGTTTCTTTTAGTAAATCTAGGACATACTTACGTTGGGAAATAAAGATACCGAGTTTTGATCGAGCAATTTCCATGCCCAGAAAATATCTAAGATTTCCAAGATCTTTGATCTCGAATTCCCTAGATAAGAAGTGTTTCAATCTTTCTATCTCTTCCACATAATCACCGGTCATAATGATGTCATCCACATAAACAATTAGGATAGATATCCTTTTATCGGATGAAAATCTGACAAATAAAATGTGATCAGCTTGACATTGAGTGTACCCATTTTGAATGATTGACTTGGTAAATCTTCCAAACCATGCTCGTGGGGATTGTTTAAGACCATATAGGGACTTCTTGAGTTTGCAAACCTTTTCTCTGTTCAAGGAGTTCTCGAAGCCCGGTGGAATATTCATATAAACTTCTTCTTCAAGGTCACCGTTCAAGAATGCATTTTTTATGTCGAGTTGATGTATGGCCCAATCTTTATTTGCAGCAAGGGATAGCAGTACACGAACAATATTAAGCTTAGCAACAGGAGCAAACATCTCTTGATAGTCAATCCCGTAGGATTGAGTGAAGCCTTTAGCAACAAGGCGAGCTTTAAATCTCTCAATGCTCCCATCAGCCTTGTGTTTAACAGAGAAAACCCACTTGCAACCAATTGTTTTCTTTCCAGGTGGTAAATTGGTAAGTGTTCATGTATTGTTTTTCACCAGAGCATTAATCTCATTTTGTACAGCTTCTTTCCATTGAGAATCAGCCAATGCCTCCTGAATTGTGTGAGGAATTTGTATGCTATCAACAACAGAGGCGAAGGCTTGATAGGATGGTGACAATGTTTTATAGGACACAAAGTTGCCAATTGGATGTTCTGTACATGCACAAACCCCTTTTCGCAAAGCAATAGGTATATCTAAATCATCGTTGTGATCAACATTATCATGTTTAGAATTACCTGATTGACCTGGTTCAGATTCGTGGTAGTCCTCAAGATGTGTTGTGTGCTCTATGTCTTTGCCTGGTTGCTTCCTTCGTGTATAGACAAGAATTTCTTTTTCTTTTCCAGTTGGTTCTTGGCAAGGAGATGGATCCATGAATGGAGGATGGGAAGAGTTTTCCATGGCTGGATTTGAAATAAAAGGACTCTCATCGTGAACACCAGAGGGTTGAGTATGGGAACTTTGATCGGTATCTGGAGATAAAGTATCAACACTAGGAATAGAGTCCCAAAGATGAGATTCGTTTATATTCTCCCCCTGAAGCTCAGATTTGTAGTAGGAATGATTTTCAAAGAAGGTAACATCCATAGAGTTGTATATTTTTCGTGTTGCTGGAGAATAACATTTGTAACCCTTTTGATGCGATGAATAGCCAATAAAGATACACTTAATAGATTTGGGATCTGACTTGCTACAACTCTGAGATTGATTGTGTACAAATGCAATGCAGCCAAAGACTTTAGGATCAAAAAGACTGATGAATTTTGTATGAGGAAATAACTTCAGGACAGATTGACATGGAGTTTGCAAGTTAAGAACCCGTGAGGACATTCGGTTTATAAGGTAGGTGGCTGTGAGAATAGCTTCACCCCAAAAGTCTTTAGGAACTTGAGTAGAAAACATGAGCGATCGAGCAACTTCAAGGAGATGCCGATTTTTTCTTTCAGCAATTCCATTTTGCTGAGGGGTGTCTACACAGGAGCTTAAGTGTAGGATGCCGTGTTGAGTGAGATAAGGGCTAAGAATAGAGTTGAAGAATTCTTTGCCGTTATCCGTCTTAAGGATTTGAATCTTGGAGTGAGATTGAGTTTGAATCATAGAATGAAAGTTTTTAAAAATTTCACTCACTTCTGATTTGGAATTCATGAGATACACCCAGGTTAACCTAGTGTGATCGTCGATAAAAGAGACAAACCATTTTTGTTCGGTTATAGTCTTAACTCGTGAGGGACCCCACACGTCGCTATGAATTAATAAAAATGGTTTGGAAGGTGTGTAGGGTATACTATGATAAGTGTTTCGAGTATGTTTTGCGAGTTGGCAAATTTCACAGCAAAGAGAGTCAGGACTTTTATTAATAAACAATGAGGGAAACATTTTTGACAAATACCAAAAATTCGGATGACCGAGACGATAGTGCCACAACATGATATCACTATCTTTATTGGAACGAGACTGTTTATTTAAAGAGAACAAGCTAAATTGTTGAGATGTCCCGACAGAAAGAGCGTCATCTTGTAAGACATAGAGCCCATAACACGTCTTAGCACGGCCAATCATCTTCCCCGAAACCAGGTCCTGAAACACACAAATATCTGGGTAAAACTTAGCCACACAATTGAGTTCACGTGTAATTTTACGAATAGATAGTAAATTATATTCCAACTTGGGTACATAAAGAACAAATTTGAGGGTTAGATTTGGGTTTATTTTGACTGAACCCACACCCGCAACTTTGGAGGATGTTCCATTTGCAATTTTTACTGTGTGATGTTTTGAACTTGCATGAAACTCAGAAACAATGCTCGGATTTCCTATCATATGATCTGATGCTCCAAAATCAAGAATCCAAGGGTTAATATGCTTTTTACTGATCATAAGGGCTAGTGAATGGTTACCTTTAGTGGTCAACAACCCTATACCGGGAGTGGTGTTTGGTTGAATGGACTGACTTAAAATTTTCTGAAGTGCCTCCAATTGTTCTTTGGTGAAAGGAGATGAGTTTGATGTGTCCCCTTTTCCTTCAACAACACTTGAAGGAGTAATGGCCACATTTCCATGAGTTTCTTTTTCTTTCCATGATTTTGGTTTCCAATCAGCAGGTTTTCCATGAAGTTTCCAACATGTTTCTCGATAATGTCCAGATTTACGACAATGTTCACACCATGGTCATCCCTTCTGTTGTCCCCGGGTAGCAAGAGCAGATGAATCTTGAGTTGATGGATTAGGGGAAGCACCAAGCATGACCTTTTTCCTACTCTCTTCCTGTCGAACCTCTAAGAATGCTTCCTTAACATGAGGAAGAGGCTTGATACTCATGATCCTACTCCTGACTGCATCAAGTTCTTTATTGAGTCCATGAAGAAACTTGAAAGTTCTCCTTTTCTCAACGATATTCCGGTATAGAGTAGTGTCATCAGTACACTTCCAGGAATAGGTTTCAAATAGATCTAGCTGCTGCCAATACCGAGTAAGAGTGTTAAAGTATTGTGTGACAGAGGTATCGTCTTGGCGGAGGTCATAGAGGGCGGCTTCAATTTCGAAAAGTTCTGATGTATTTTCAGAACTGGAGTAGGATTCTTTGACAGCATCCCAAAGTTCTTTTGCAGTCGGATATAGAAGAAAGTTTTCTCCTATATCATTATTCATAGAATTAATCATCCATGACTTAATCATGTGATTATCAGACTTCCATGTTTTGTACTTTGGATCATCTGATTTTGGAGTCTCAATCTCTCCAGTAAGATATTCCTCCTTTCTTTTTCCACCAATATACATCATCACAGATTGTGACCATTGAAGAAAGTTATGGCCATTAAACTTGTGACTGGTAACAAGAGATACGGCTTCATTACCGTGAGAGGATGAACCAGAGATGTTG